ATAACAGAAGTCTAGGGGTAAGGCTTGCTAGGTATGGCTGAGCCCAGGGATTCAAACAAGCTTCCTTTTTCTTTCCTCCTTCCCTCCTTCCCTTTCTTTCTCTCTTTCTCTCTCCCATTTTCTTCATCTCTAAGAATTCCAGATGCTTTTCCCAGCCATATTGTCTCTAAGGTCTTCAGGGCTGCTTATCTCTAGGCGATACAGCTGCTCACATTTCCCATCCCCAACCCCCTTCCCAACTACACTGGCACAGCCTGCTCTAGGGTCACCAAGAGCCTTTGTCGCCAGATCTGGGGACTTTCTCATTTCTTACCTCACTTGACATCTGCCATCCTGTGACATTGCTTACACTCCTCTTTAGGCTACCCTTTGACAATGCCTTTCTCTCTCCTGGGCTTCTTTCTCTTCAAGGACTCCTTTCTCAATCTTTGTGGGCTCCTGCTCTCCTGGTACACTGGCATTTCCCTGGTACTCACTCCGGCCCATCTTTCTCTTCCCTCTTCACACTTCCACCAAGACCTCATCCAGCACTTCATCTCCAACCTAAACTTTTCTCCTGAGGTCCAGCTGCACACACCCACTGCCCCCAGAACATCCCTCTTGAAAGCCCGTCGAGCTCCGCTTACCCAATACAACAATCAAAGTGATGATCATAGTCAATAATTAAAGTTCTTACACACTCTTCTAAGCATTTCACACTTACTCAACCTTCCTAGCAACAACAGGAAGTACATATTTTTATTATCACTCTCATTTTGCAGATGACGAAACTGAGGTTTAAAGAGGTTGAAAGAATCCAAGTTCTTAAACACTATGTTTTGGTTTTCTCAAAACCAAAGTTGGCCTAGCCCACCACCTTTCTCCTCTGTCAGTGCTCTCTAGCTCAGGGACTATCACCACTGTGCTCCCGTCAGTAACCAATCACCTTCCAGTCCATCCCCATGGCCACTAGCTCACTTCACAGGTCCCCATAATCTCCCTCCTGACTGATCTGTCTCCACTAGTTCCCAATGAAACTATGCCTCATACAGCCCCTCTTTCTAGCCTTCTAAAATATAAATGTGAAGATCAATGCTTCCCTCTTCTCTCAGGATAAAATCAACATGCCTTAAGGACCCTTTCTGGGCCTGAGGCCTGCTTCTACTTCCTCTTCTCCCACACAGCACTGACCTCATCTCTTGCCACTTCTCACCACCCTCTCTCTAGTTTCCACCACCGATTTCCTCAGAGGCCCTCCCATCTCATGCCTCTTCCACATTGGGCCCCCCTTTGGACACAGGCTTCCCTTTAAGTCAGTTACCTTTAAGACTTAGCTCAAGTGTGACCTCTTCCAGGATGCCTTCTTGGAAATCTACCACCTCCCAGTCTGGATAAGATACTCTGTGGTCAATGGGCTTCCCTTCACAGCAAAGTCTTGCTGTTTGCGCATATGCTTTCTTTACTAATGACCCCAGGGCTGGGACCTTGTGGGTTTTTTTTCTCTTTTTGCTAAGAGAGAGTGTGTATAATCAACCTTAAGTTAGATTTGTTGAATAAATGATGAATAAATGAGTACCCACTCTGTACTCCTCCTAGGGCTCAGATGCTTGATTTCTTGGTCCAGATGTTTTCAGATCAGAAGTGGAGGGTTTCCACAATGGTTTCCATTAGGGCCCTGAACTTTCCCTGACATCTGCCCCTTTCCTCTCCCAGGCTAACTGAAGTCTCAAGGTCAAGGGGAATCTTCAGCTAATACAAGAGAAACTGGGAGAGTTAAGGCGGGGCAGGGGATTTGTATCCCCCAAAGCCTAGAATGGTGAAGCAAGAGAAGCAAGTCAAGCCATCTTGGATTAAAAAAGATCTTGGACGAGAGTGTGTGGGCTGCCTTGGTACCTTTTTCTGCTTATTTTAGTCATAGTCTCCGCCCCCCTGTTCTGAGTCATGCTGACAGCTTCCCCTATGCCTCTGGCCTCTTGACACGCTCTCTGCTTGCTTGCTTCCCTTGGCATTTTGGTCTAGCTCTTCACCGGTGGCTCAGGAGGTTGGAAGCCCAAGTCTGGCCTTCCAGTCATGACCGGGACCGGGACATCTCTTCTCCTATTGATGAGTAAGCTGGGGGCCCTGATGAAGTGGGTTGAGAGGTTGGGGTCCAGATAGGAAGAGAGTTGAGAATGCACATGTTTTGTACTCAGACAATAGGAGATGGACCCAGGGTTTGAGAACTATCTCCTAAGTTTGTGGAGAGAGAGGGTATTGAGGAACCACTTTGGAGTGGGGATGGATTTCAAAAGATGCTGGATGAGAGGCCAGTTACCTGGACAATCAGAGATTTCTCATATAGGCAGAACAAGTTAACTTTGTGCTCTGCCCACAGTGCCCCTTGGTTCCAAGTTTTCCTGGACTCTCCCTCTTAGGAGCCTCAGCAGTGGGGATGGGGAAAGAGCATCTTTAGAGCTGGGGTGTTGCTTGGTGGAAATGAAGAATAGAAACTTGCCAGTAGACCACTGGGTGAACAGCTGTCTCTGGACTATCCAAAAGAGAGAAGCAGGGCTGAGAGAAGCCAGAGCCTGGGAGTCCAGAAGACCAGGAGGCACTGGGGCATTGGACCTGGAAAGGAGAATGGGGGCTGGGGCTGAGAGATGGAGAAGGAAGAAGAGCCTTCTCCAAAGCTTCTCTCCTCACCCTCTTCCCCAGCCTTGGCTTCCTCTGTCTGCTTCAACTTGGACACAGACAAGCCGACAACCTTCCTCATGGACAGTGCTGGGTTTGGACACAGTGTGGTCCAGTATGCCAACTCCTGGTGAGAATTGAGTGGTGACTGGTATTTGGCTTTCATCAACTTCTCTCCCTGCACAGAGTCCTGTTCCTCCCCCTCCCCTTCCTTTTATTCACAAATCTACCTCTCTGTTTGATATGGCAATTTCCTGAAGGTTATGAAGAGTTGAATTGAAAGCAGATGCTGTCTTGCCACCTTGATAATCACAGCTAACTTTTATTGAGTACTTACAAAGTGCCAGGCACTGTGCCAAGCACCCTTTATATGGGTACTGATGTAGTCCTCACAAAAATATTATGCAGTAGGAATCTATTATTCAACAATTATTGAGCACCTACTGTATGTCTCAGGAGCCAGGCATATACCAGAGAATAAAACAAACAAAAATCCCTTCTATGCGAAACTTAAATTTTTATTAATCTTCACTTGACTAAAGAGGAAACTGAGGCACAGAGAGCTGAAGCAAACTTGCTGGAGTGGCAGTCTGGTTTTAGTATCCACATTCTTAACTGTGGTGTTCACTGTCTCCCCAAAGGGTTGTTGTTGGAGCTCCTCAGGAGATAAAGGCTGCCAACCAAACAGGTGGCCTCTACCAATGTGACTACAGCACAGCCACTTGTGAGCCCATCCGCCTACAGGGTGAGTCATTGCCCCTCTCTGGGACCTAGGTCTAGGCTCCCATGCTCTACGGTCATGTGAGGAGTGCAGAGGACCCACATCCCAGCTTCAGCTCTGTCTGCAGACCCTTAGCTTCAGACAGGCTTCCCGACTCCTTGAAGGCCTCCCTGCCCATTGCACTCCTGCACCCGTAGCTTCATCAAGACCTGCAAACCCCCTTTATCTGTCAGACCTCCTTGTCTCCCAGGGTTGAGGGGACTCTTGCCCAGACTGTACATTAACTCCTCTGCCCTGAGGGTAACCACACACATATCTGTCCCCTCAGTACCCCCGGAGGCTGTGAACATGTCCCTGGGCCTGTCCCTGACAGCTTCCACCAATCCCTCTCAGCTGCTGGTGAGTTGCCCTGGGTCACAGGAATATTCTGAGGAAAGAAGTGGGGACCTGGGGATGCTAAAACTGGGGGTCTTGTGGAGTGTGGAGGTGCTGGGATAGGAGGGTGGGATGGAAGCAGGGGCAGCCCGTCCACCAACCCCGTCTGTCTCCAGGCCTGTGGTCCCACTGTGCACCATGCCTGCAGAGAGAACATGTATTTGACTGGTTTCTGCTTCCTGCTGTCCTTCCCCTCCTGGCAGGCCCAGAGGCTCCCTTCTGCCCTGCAGGGTGAGTGTTCAGCCCACCGGGTCTGTGGGGAGCCCATACATATGTGACTGGGAGTGCAGTGGGGTGAGACACTCTTACCAGAGTAGGTAAAAAAAAGATCTGGAAAAAAGCTTACTGGATGGCGTAGTGCTTTCAAACACAGGCTGGGGAGCCACTGCCCCATCACTGCCCCACTGCGGAACCTTTCCTATGACCTTACCCTTTCTGAGCCTCAGTTTCTTGGTCTGTCAGGTGGGTATAATAACACACCCAACAGTGAGAGTAGCATTAGATGTTCCATGGCCTGGGTTTAGCATAGTGCCTGGCATGTGATGAGGGCTCAGTTAATGCCAATTACTATTACTTTTAGAGAAGAGGATTTATTTTCACCTAGTGCACCCTGGGGTGTAACCAACTGGTTTGTGCAGCAGGCTGGGAAGGGGTGATGAGGGTGCAGACAGTCTGAATGTGTATGTGCATGATGCACATGTGTTCATGTGTATATTTGTGTGCAAGTACATGTGCATGTATGTGTATGTGTGCATGTATACATGCATTTGTGTATATGTGCATGTGTGTGTGTGCAGGTTGATGCATAGGACCTGGCTTCCCTGGTGCTGATGTGAATGGGGGATAAGAAGGTAGAACATTGAGCTTTTCAGACCTAGCCCACAGCAGACCAAGGCCCCTTCCTGGTTTCACATTCACACTCAGGCCCTTGGGGAGACTGATATCTAGCCATTGAATGGGTACGCTCTGATCTTTACCCACGGGTGCCTGAGCTCCCATGAGAACAACTAGGACACCACTCCAGGAGGCTTCTGGAACAGAAAGGGGAACTGGGAGCTAGAAATGGCATGATGTTTCCTCTTCGAGAGCTGGGAGAGCTTCCTCTTCTAAGGACAGATCCTGTATTCACACCAGAGGGGAGTGGGAGCCCGTATTTAAGCTGAGAACATAATAAAGACAATGTGTGGCTATTATCACGGGTGACATTAAAAATATTTAACAAAAATACAGTTCAGCACTAACCAATGAGGATAGACCCTGGTCAGGGGCTGGAGCAGAGTCTTTTCATCGCTGGATCATGGAGATGCTCTGGGAAGAGGGTGGTGAAACCCAGGGGGAGGGGTACACTACCGAGGTCGAAGGGAGGCTCAGCTCCTTACTATCGGATTACAGGAACTCTCACTTTTTTCAACCAGGCTGGCTGCACAGGTATGATCACTAAATCACAGATGTATCCTCTTTAGAGACTTTAGGAGACAAAGGGCCCTGTTCTGGGCAAGGTTTAAGGAAGCCTCTGGGGGCTGAGTTCTTGTCACTAGGAAGCTGAGATCCTGGGCTCTGGGAGATTCCCTCAGATGACCGGTGCCATTTCTTTCCCCAGAGTGCCCAAAGCAGGAGCAGGACATCGTGTTCCTAATTGATGGCTCGGGCAGCATCTCCTCTAACAATTTTGCCAAGATGCTGAACTTCGTGAAGGCTGTAATGAGCCAGTTCCAGAGACCCAACACCCAGGTGTGCCCATGGGGGAAAGCGAGTGTGCAGGGCCCATTAGGGAGGCTTGTGGGAGGCGCACTGAGAGTTCTGGAGGAGAGGTCTCTGTGTCAGCTCCATGCGGTTCTCCCAGTTCTCCCTGATGCAGTTCTCCAACCAATTTCGGGTGCATTTCACTTTCAAAGACTTCACTTACAACTCAGACCCACTAGGCCTGTTGGATTCTGTGTACCAGCTGAGAGGGGCCACTCACACAGCCACAGCCATCAGGAAGGTCATGTGAGTCCTGACTTCTTCCAGGTCCTTTCCCAGAGCATACTGTCTTCCTCTGGGCCTCATCCATCTCCATGAATAAAGGACAGGTGGAACTGAAATTCCATCTGTGGTCTCCTCACCAATCTGGGGGTCTCTGGGTGGGATCAGCGCCTCCTGGAGGAACGAGCACCTCCTCATTCTCACAAGGTGTCAGGGGCTGGCAGAAGCCTCTGGGCTCTCTTCTTCCCTGACAGAAAACAATTGTTCAGTGCCCCAAGTGGGGCCCGAAATGATGCCTCCAAGATCCTCATCGTCATCACTGATGGGAATAAACAAGGCGACTACCTGGATTATAAGGATGTCATCCCCATGGCTGAGGCAGCGGGCATCATCCGCTATGCAGTCGGGGTAAGATGTGGGGATGCTCTCCCACTGCTTTCTCTCCTTGCTTCCACTTCAGATAACTTCTCTTTCAGGGACAGAAACCTCAGCTCTCTCAGCTTCTACTTCCTTTAGTATGAAAACTGTTTTGGCTTGGGAACACTGATCTTTTCCCCTAAACTCCTTAATCCTTTGTAAGCCTCATTTTTCTCACCTGTACACTAGGTGTAGTAATGTTAACATTGCAGTGCTATTGGAAGGTATCAGCACCCAGCATGTGGCAGGCACATTAGGTTTATGATTATTTTCATTGAGTTGGTCTTTGTTGGGACAGGTGGGATCGGCTTTTCGAGAGACAAATTCCTGGAAAGAATTAAATGACATCGCATCAAGTCCCTCCCATGAATATATATTTAAAGTGGAGAACTTTGACGCTTTGAGAGACATTCAAAACCAACTGAAAGAGAAGATCTTTGCCATTGAGGGTAAGTCAGAGATGGAAATACTTGCATCAGAAACCCTCGCTCATAAAAGCTTTTTCTTCTTAAACCTGGACCCAAACATCATGGACAACAACCTCTCCCTTTGGGTATTAGTCTCTAACATTAGACCCTCTTAAAGGTGAGGTGTCCTTCTCAGACCTGGCAAAACTTTTCTTCCCCTGTGGAACCCAAATGTCATGCCCTCCCCTAGGTACACAGACCATAAGCAGTAGTTCCTTTGAATTGGAGATGTCCCAGGAGGGCTTCAGTGCTGTATTCGCACCTGTGAGTGGGGTCCCTTTCAGTCCACTGATGTAGGTTAAGGGAAAGCAGGGATGGGGGGAGGTGAGGGTGGGTGTTAGATGAGAGTGGAGTCGGCGTCAGGGATTGCTTTGGAATTGCTGTCTCTTCTCGCTCCCTTCTACTCAGCCCCAGAATCCTTTCTTCCCAGGATGGACCAGTTCTAGGGGCTGTGGGAAGCTTCAGCTGGTCTGGAGGTGCCTTCCTGTACCCCCCAAATATAAGCCCCATCTTCATCAACATGTCTCAAGAACATGTGGACATGAGGGACTCTTATTTGGGTGAGAAAAGGCTTTGGTTGTGACAGGCGGGAGATGAGATGCCTGGGAGGGGTAGGAGCCCAGAGCCTTTGTGCTGAGGCCTGGTTCCTTTAGGTTACTCCACAGAGCTGGCCCTTTGGAAGGGGGTGCAGATCCTGGTCCTGGGGGCCCCCCGTCATCAGCACACTGGGAAAGTTGTCCTCTTCGCCCAGGTGTCCAGGCAATGGAGGCCGAAGGCTGAAGTCACAGGGACCCAGGTTGGATGTGGAGGAAGTCAGAGTGGAATATGAGGGTGGCAGTCTCCAGGGACAGAGAGGAAAGAGATGAAGGGGTTTGGGGCTTGTGGTAGGGAGGTCCTGGTCCCTGAGGAGAGGCAGGACCTGGCCCAGATGGGGTGCCTCTGGCAGGGGCAGGTGGGGTGACTTCACGCTCTGCCCTCCAGATTGGCTCCTACTTTGGGGCCTCCCTCTGCTCTGTGGACGTGGACAGAGATGGCAGCTCCGACCTGGTCCTCATCGGGGCCCCTCATTACCATGAGCCGACCCGGGGCGGCCAGGTGTCTGTGTGCCCCTTTCCCCGGGGGGTGAGTGGCTGATGGAACCTGGGCTGGGTGGGGCCTGGGTGTGGGGTGGAGGAGTTGCCCGGGTTGGGGACTGGCACTGGTTTTGTTCTGCAGAGGGCTAGGTGGCAGTGTGAGTTCATTCTCTGTGGGGAGCAAGGCCACCCCTGGGGCCGCTTTGGGGCAGCCTTGACAGTGCTGGGGGACGTGAATGGGGACAAGCTGATGGACGTGGCCATTGGAGCCCCGGGAGAGCAGGAGAACCAGGGTGCTGTCTACCTATTTCATGGAACCTTAGGACTGGGCATCAGCCTCATCCACAGCCAGGTGAGGCCCTGTCATGGATTCTGTCACTATGACAACTCCTCCTTGCTTTTCCTTGTCTTTTACACGGCTGCCTGGAAAATTTGCTGTTACCTATTTTACCTCCTTTGCCCACTATTGGGCATCTCATAGGCAGCAAACAGAAGTATTAACAGGCTCATTCCCTGATTTGTATGGGGACTTGATACTTGATGGGTTCTCCACCCAGGCCTTGTAATCCCTCAGCAGATTTACAAGATATATTGGCCAGGCATTAGCAAACCCATTTTAGAGATAAAATCTGAGGCCGGGAGAAGATAAATGACTTGATTTGTCCAAGGTTTATAGTAGATCAGGAATGGTGATGAGAAAGGTTCCTGTCTCCTGACTTCTAACCCAGTGCTCAGTCTCTTGGTGGCTCTCTGTTGCCAATCAGTTTAGATCTGATTGCTCAGCTTGCCTTTCCACTCACCCTTTCATCTCCATGGATGATATATGACTTTATTCTCTCCTGCTAGCAGTAATCCTGCCAAATGCTCATCCAGGTAGGAGCCCTCCACCAAATGGGGCAGGGTTCCCTGAGTAGGGAGGGGCTGCTTCCCTTGGCAAAATTAAAACATAGGCCAAGGATCTGAGTAGACATTTCTCCAAAGATGATATACAAAGGACCAATACACACATGAAAAAATGCTGAACATTATTAGTCATCAGTCATTAGCAAATCAAAACCACACTGAGACACCACTTCACACCCAATAGAATGGCTAAAATTAAAAACATAATAACAAATGTTGGTGAGGATGTAGAGACTTTGGAAACCTCACATACTGCTGGTGGGATGTAAAATGGTGCAGATGCTTTGGAAAATAGTCTGGCAGTACCTCAGAAGGTTAAACATAGAGTATTGTATGATCCAAGAATTCCACCAAAGAGAACTGAAAACGTATGTCCACATAAAAAGTTATACACAAATGTTCACAGTAGCATTATTTATAATAACCAAAAGGTGGAAAAAACTCAAATGACCATTGATTGAAGAATAGATAAGTGAAATGTGGTCTATCTGTACAATGGAATATTATTCAGCCATAAAAAGGAATAAAGTATTGACACAGGCTGCAACATGGATGAATCTTGAAAACATTATGCTAAATGAAAGAATCCAGTCACAAAAGACCACATATTATATGATCGTATTTATATGAAATCTCCAGAATAGGCAAATCCACAGAGACAGAAAGTATGTTAATGATTGTCAGGGGCTGCGAGTGCAAGGAGGTGACATGGGGGTGACTGCTTAAGGGTATGGGGTTTCTTTTTGGGGTGATGAAAATGTTCTAAAATTGATTTGTTAATGGTTACATAACTCTGAACATCCTAAAAAACACTGAGTTGTATACTTTAAAAGGGAAATTGTACAGTATGTGAATTGTATCTCAAAAAGTTGTTAGGAAAAAAAGTCAAAGAAGATCCCTGAAGTTCTGTCACTTCACAGATATGTGATCTTGGTCATTACTCACCTCTCTGTGCTCAGTTCCCTCATTTGTAAAATGGTGGTAATAATAAACCAACCTTATTGGGCTGCTGCTATGAATATTAAATGGGTCAGTACATACATGTACATAGAGTACATATACAGCACACAAATACATATGTGCCTGGCACATAATAGGTGTTACGTTAATCAATTACTGTTAATACAGTTTAACAACTGAAGGGATTCTAAAGAAATGGAACTTTAAGAAGAGGATGAAAGGCTTTGTTGAGAATAATGAGAATCCATCTGTTGTCATGAAACTGTATTCAGTTCACACCAACTTTAACCTCTCCTTGCTGCAGTGGCTAAGAGGGTCTACGTAGACCCTTGATTGCAAATATTGCTTGGGTTATACCCACAAGACCTGACTCCAAGAGGAGGCCTTTCCAGATTCACAGCCGACCATGATTTTCCTTTTGCCTCCATGATGTATCTCACCACATACTTGACTGGAAAAGTCTTGCCTTCTTCCCCAAAGGCCCACACACCAAAGAGAGTGTATGGTGGTGAGATCAGTTTTCCTGGGTGTGAGGCCACTTGAATGTGTTTGTAATAATTTTACCTCCCTCTTCATCTCTACACTCCCTTCATAATTGGTAAATTTCTCTTTCATTTTATTATTATTACTCTTAATGTCTCCCAGTCCCAACAGTGCCCAGATATTTATATGGCACATTTTCCCAAGGGATTACTCATTACAGGACCAATAGAAATAAAAGAGAAGGGACCCACAGGTGAGGCAAAGTCTTGGAGCATAGAATCTGCATATGGGCATAGCCATTTCCCACCCCAATTTGATCCCTCTTTGTCCTCTGAAGAGACAGGGTGGCCATGGGGAGCACAAAGGGGTCTTGGGCCTGAGGTCGGAGGATCTGATTTTCAGTCTGGAGTTGCTCTCTTAAAGGCTGTGTGGTATTGGCACTGTCTGCAGAGGAAGTTGTAGCTGGATGAGCTGAGGTCCCTTCTAGTCCAAACACTCATCATAATTAGTAATTGACTAATGACCATATTCCAGGTGCTATTCTAAGAACTGTATGAATTAATTCATTTGCTACTTATGGCTAAACCCTGAGGTATTATTATTCCCGTGAGAGATGTGGAAACTGAAGCACAGAAAGATTGAATCCATGTCCAAGTGCTCATGGCTAATATAAGCAGAGGAGCCAGAATTGAAACCTGATTAGTCTTTCGATCTTCATTTTATGTCTTAGGAATCTTTCCTTTTCTCTAGTCATCATTTTCCCACTCCTCTCTTTAGGCTCTCCTTGATGACATCTTTTCACTACTCATCCCTTCTTTCTGTCTCCCACATGCCTACCTCCCTGTTCCTCCCATTGCTGATCTCCAACTTGTTTCCCTCAACCCCCAACCTTGCTTGCCTTTCTCTCTCTGGCTAGAGGATTGCAGGATCCCAGTTCTTCCCCAGGCTCCAGTATTTTGGGCAGTCACTGAGCGGAGGTCAAGATCTCACCCTGGATGGACTGGTGGACCTGGCTGTGGGGGCCCAGGGGCATGCACTGCTGCTCAGGTGAGAAGAGCCTTCCTCAGATACTCTCCAGGTGGTCCTAGGTTCACCTAGAACATCAGCCTCTTCACCCTCATCCCAGGTCCTCCTGTGACCAAGGGCCTATCCTCAATGTTCTTCCCGCAGAACCAGACCTGTGCTCAGGGTATGGGTGAGCATCCGCATCACACCTGCAGAGATCACCAGGTCTGTGTTTGAGTGTCAGGAGCAGATGCCCTTTGTCCAGCCACTGGTTAATGCCAATGTCTGCCTTCATGTTTATAAAAGCTCCAAGGACCGACTGGGTGAGTCCTCTTTGACCCAGAATACCCTGACCTTGGAGTCCTCCAACCCAAGACTCTAGTCTCCTGCCTTGCTCCTTGCCCATCTGGGGAGTTCATGGTTCTTTTAGCCCTTCCCATCCCCTACTTTCCCCTATAGGTGACCTCCAAAGCTCTGTGACCTTTGACCTGACCCTTGACCCTGGCCGCCTGAGTCCCCGGGCCATCTTTGAGGAGACAAAGACTTGGAATCTGACTCGTGTCAGAGTCCTTGGGCTGAGACAGCATTGTGAGGACGTGAGGTTCCTTCTCCCGGTGAGGAGGCCTTGGAGTTCTGGGGATGGAGGCAATTCCAAGGCTGGCAGCAGGCTGGGAAGGGAAAGAATGGGGTGTGTTCTGGTCCTCACTGTGGCTCAGTCCCAGCATGGCACTTGGAATTTAGGAGGAGCTTAACATTTGTTAGCCAAATGAGTGAATGAGTGAGTGAGAATGAATGAATGTGTTGGCTGTAACTGCCAGAAGTTACAAAGTTGGATTTTAGTAAAAGAGTACAACTGCTTCAGACAACTATGGAACAATGGGCTGGGATTCTTGTATCAAGCCATTCCCCTGAGACAGGCCCTGTCCTAGGTGTCAGAGACACAGCAGTGGACAAAACAGTCCATGCTCACAGGGAGCTCTGGGGAAGACCAAAAATGGTCAAGTTCCTAGATAACAGGAGTCAGGTAGTGATGAATGCTGTGAAGATAAAGCCAGGGAGTGAACAGAGGGGTGTCCAGAGGCCTCTTGGAGGATGTAAAGTTTGAGAAGACCCTAAATAGAGTGAGTGAGCCTGTGGGAGGTTAGGGGAGGGATATCAAGGCAGAGGATAATCACAGCAGAAGTTCCACATGGCGGAATCTTAGCAATGAGTGTTTAATAAGTGCAGGTGAGTACCATTTTTATTCCATTTTACAGATGAGATGGGACACAGCTAGTGACTGTGAGGCTGTTTTCCTTAGCCACCTGCTCTCTTCAATGTCTGTTCTCTAGGCCTGTGTGGAGGACTCAGTGACCCCCATTACCTTGCGTCTCAATTTCTCCCTGGTGGGCAAGCCCAAACCTTCCTTTGGAAACCTACAGCCTATATTGGCTGTGGATGCTCCCAGATACTTCATGGCCTCTGTGAGTCTTGGCTTTGGGATCTTCTAGAGGGAGTGAAGGGGGTGGACTCCAGACTTTGGGGAAAACCCCTCTTTGCTTTCCCTCTCAGCTTCCCTTTGAGAAGAACTGTGGAGCCGACCACGTCTGCCAGGATGACCTTGGCATCTCCTTTGGCTTCTCAGGGTGAACCTCTACCCCTTTAGACCTGCTCTGGTCCCCCAGCCCTCCTCCTGGCACCTAGAGCTCATGCCCACCTCTCCATAACATTTCTATCCTGTGCTCAGAAACCAGACATCCTGTCCCCCCAATCTCCCCCACCTCCTGACTCTGTTTCATCCCTAGACCATTTCTCGCCCCAGTCACAGAATCATCTCCTACCCTATACCCCAATACCTAGCTTGAAGACCCTGGTGGTGGGGAGTAACCTGGAGCTGAACATGGAAGTGACAGTGTGGAATGATGGTGAGGACTCCTATGGAACCACAGTCACCTTCTTCTACCCACCAGGCCTGTCTTATCGACGTGTGGCAGGGAGCCAGGTATTATTTATTCTCTCTGGAGAAGGAAGTGGATGATGGTTTGGGGTCAGCAGAGACTCTTGTACTGAGTTCACAGCTCAGACTGGTGCTGCCATTGCTTAGAAGCCTCTCATTAACCAAGAGGTCTTGGCTGGTCATGATTGGATAAATATGATTGTGCTATCTAGTACTTGCCTCACCTTATGTTGTATTCATCTCTGGGCATCACATTCTAAGTACACTGACTATTAGGAATGAGTTCCCAGGGGGCAGTTAATATGGAGAGAGAGGAGATCCTACCTTAAATTTCTTTGTACTCTACATCATATAAATATTCTTCCTTTAAAGGAAAACATATCTTGGCTTTCGAATATTTTAAAACACTGTGCTATAGAAGAAGGAGTTAAATTAATTGGTTACTCTAGATCAGGGCTTGTCATACTTTTTCTATAAAGAGCTAGAAAATAAATATTTCAGTTTTGTGGTTCATGCAGTGTCTGTCATATCTACTCAATTCTGCTGTAGTGGAGTGAAAGCAGTCATTGACAATATGTGTATGAATGATCATGGCTGTGTTTTAATAAAACTTTATCTATAAAAATTGGTGGTTTGGCAATCCCTGTTCTAGAAGACAGAACTAGGACCATATTGAGTCAAAGTGAAACAGATTTTTAATAAAAATTTTATTATGAAAAATGTTAACATTTACAAAAGTAGAAAGTAGTTCAACAAACTTTCCCAAAACTTACCACCCAGATTCAACAATTGTCAACATTTTGCTACATTTATTTAATCTTTTTTTCCCCTTTGCTGAAGTATTTTAAAATAAATCCCAGACATTATGCCACTCATCCTTACTTCATTCTATACTTCTGGACAGTGAGGACATCTTACACAACCCAATGCCATTATCACACCCAATGAAATGAATCATTCCTTGATATTTAGACCATAATAAAATTTCCTTAATTACCTCAAGATGCTGTTACACCTGAAACAGCATCTAAAGTAGGTCTACACATTATACTTGGTTGGTTGGTCTCTTATGTCTCTCTGAAGCTGGTACTCCCAATGAGATCATATTTTGATTAACATTTGAAGGAAAGTACTAGAAATGGCAAGATCCAGCTGCATGAGGGGTGAGTGCCCTATCATTGAAGGTACTTCTAGACATAGCAACCAAATGCAATACGTGGACCTTTGTTGGACATTAATTTTAAAAATGAGCTGTAAAATAATGTTTTTGGGCACAAATTAGGAAGAGTGAACATGATTTGGATTAATATTAAGGAGTTATTATTAATTTTGTTCATTTGTTTGTCTATTTATTTATTTGGCAAGGCAACACTTGGTTGACCTCACAGATTGCAAGGACATTGTCAGCTTACAATCCCTTATTTTTTTATTTTTTATGCTTCCAGCACCTGGTCTTTCTAGGTGGTCTCCCATCCAAGTACTAACCAGGCTCTGCTTAGCTTCTGAGATCACATGGGTTCGGGCTTGTTCAGGGTAGCATGGCCGTAGGTTATTATTAATTTTGCTAGATGTGTTTTGTTGAGTCTTTTAGTTATGGTAAAAAATACCCTTATCTATTGGTGGTATAAATCAAAGTATTTCTGGATGAAATGATGTAATATTCAGAATGCGCTTTAAATTATCCAGAAAAAAAAAAAGTGGACTGTAGCTGAATAAAACAGAGGCAGAAAGTATTTGTAATTTAAGCTGAATGATGGGTACACAGGCGTGGATTGAGTTTCTCTACTTCTGAGTATGTTTGAAAATTTCCACAATAAAAAGCCTTTAAAAAATAACAATAAATGTAAAAGAGGAAACTCTAATAAATCTGGGCTTTCTACTTTAGGAGGAAGTCTGACCAGATAGCATTTAAGGATTTTTAAAAAACATAACCTTGAAGTAAATTCCAGGAAACTGTCACTACTTTATAGAGTCTCTTTGGAATACTAACAGATACTCACTTTTTATCACGTGCCCTTGCCTAGAGCCAGCTGCAGTCACAATCCCTGCGCCTGACCTGTGACAGTGCCCCAGCTGAGAGCCAGGGCATCCAGAGTACCCACTGCAGCATCAAACACCTCATCTTCCGCGAGGGTGCCCAGGTCAGCCTTACTTCTACCTACTTCTTACTTCTCATCCCTTGGTGACTTTCCTACCCCCAACCCTATGCCTGCTTCTTCCTCAGATCACCTTCACGGCTACCTTTGATGTTTCCCCTAAGGCCATGCTGGGAGACCGGCTGCTTCTGATGGGCAATGTGAGTAGGTGAGTGGGCCAGGCCTGGGGCAGTGCCCCCTCACACCCAGCCTCCTCTTCTGGGGCACTTGCCAACTGGGCTCCTCCTCTTTCTCCAGTGAGAATAACACCCCTAGGACCAGCAAGACCACCTTCCAGCTGGAGCTCCCGGTGAAGTATGCTGTCTACACTATAATCACCAGGTGCCACGCTACGACCTGAAAAGGGTTTTTCTTCATCACTCTGATGGGGCTCAGGGAGGTTCTCAGGGAGTCCCTGCAGCCGCTGAACATCTGGAATATTTAGGTTTTATCACTACCCTTTCAATCGGTAGATGATCCTAGTAGCAGTACTTACTAATAGATCATTGAGTATTTATTGTGGGCTAGTTATGACAATAATAAGTGTGATATTATCATTACATCATACATTTAATAGAGGTTATGGTTCTCAGAAAGCTTTCTCAAAAACCTTAAGATTGTCCTGGATTCCCTAAGAGAGATGAGATGTATCTTTGTTTTCAAGGTTTTTATAGCCTTATTGGGGAGCAAGGTTACCCTGAACCAAAGCAGAATCTCATCAAAGGTCTCTCTGTGGTGCTGTACCCTGAGGCTATGTAAATTTCTAAGGTGGGGGTAGACTCTTCTATCATGGGAGGCCTCAGGTAAATGTTGCATGGCATTGGGTTTGGACCTCGGCATTTGGGTGGGACAATTCTTTGCAAGGAGCAGATTTAAAACTTGCAGAGCTTCTGGAACCAGTCCTCCTTTTCCAAATCCCCTTTAGAAAGTATAGAGAGAAATGACCTGCCTGCTGCAGAGGCTGAGAGTCAGGGAGAAGCTAGATGAAAGGAAAAGGCCTTAACATGCTGCCCCAGGAGGAGTAGATGAGGTGTTTGAAACTGAGGAGTCAAATCAAATGTATGAGCAGATACCTTCCTAGCATTTGCTATGTTTCAGGCACAGTGATGTGGCTGCTTTCCATAAATTCATTTGACATTCAACGAAGATTTATTGAGCTTTTATTATATGTAATCAAAACCAGACACAAACTTCCGCCCTTGTGGAATATATGCAATTATGATATGTAACAGGCCCATATGGCTTAGCATGGGTAAGTTCCCATGCTACTTCTGCCCATGTGTCTTATTAGATGTCCTTCTCCTGCTCAGAGTTTCACACTCTCATTCACACCTGTACATTGGGGCTCTCAGCAGTCCAGCTAGTTGCATGCTCCTGAGCTTGCTTGCTGGAGTGTGCACTGGGGTTAGCACCCACAGGTAGGGCACACCATATCTAGGTGCATGTAGCCTAACATCTGTCCTCTGCAGATGTTACTTTATGAGTAGGCTCATTCAGAGGGACACCCAGGATGAGACTGGGGCATTTTGGGGAAGCCCCTTGGCAGAGGAGGAATGAGACTTCAGAGTAGGACTGGTGGTCTAGAATTTAGACTGTGCAGGCTAAGGATAGGTACCCAAAGAATGGAACATGGAGGGGCAGAGATGAGACCAGCCACCTATGTGAGGGGCTGAGTTGGCCATTGGGTCTCCAGGCATGGGGCCCAGGCAGGTACAAGGAGGCACTAAAAAGAAGTAAAGAGTCTGCTGTGAGTTCTCTCTCACATCCAAGCCCCAAACCCAGAAATCCCAAGGAAATAAGAGAGAAAGGCCTCAGGGAAGGCCAGTGTCAGCCGGAGTCTCCTCAAACTTTTGCTGTGTCCTACATGCCCACTGAGCATCCTCTGTGCCCATGAAGGCCCGAAAGGAAAACTGAGGCACAGAGAAGGGAAGGTCCTGGTCTCCACTCTCTCAGTGAGTCAATGGCATAGCTCTCAGTCCCTTTCACTGCACCCTTGCCCAGCCCCACCTTGGCTGTTCCTTCTGTGGGGAGCTTCTGCAAGCATCTCCCACCCAGCTTGAAGCCCAGCCCTGCTCCCT